GATACAATCGCGAATTTGTGAGAATGTAATAATAATCTCATTATAACTCACACTATATATACGAAAAAAAAAAATAGCAGTGTGCTAAACCGAAAGACCACCGAAGAATGTTCTAGTAATATATTATTTTAAGTGGCACTTTAAAGAGGAAAGTGTCCGTGGAGAGACATCGACATCCTGGCTACAGGCGGTGATAACGCGCGGAGTGCGACAGTCAGACCCCGGCGTGACATTAACTGATTAATGTTCCTCATAATAATTCCTTCCTTCTGTACTTTCTTCTTTCTTTAATATATTGTTCTATATCTTCTTTTATGTATATACTTTTTATATTGCTGCAATAAAAGAATTATAAATAAATAAAAAAAGTCACACAGCGCCATCTGGCCCCTAGCTAAGCGGAGCTTGTACTATGGGTACTAGATAACAATATATATATACTTAGACTTTTCTGTAAATTATACATAGAAATCACACAAACCGATAAAACAAATAATCATACTCATACATAAAACCAAAATAAGTGCACATTGCGAGGATTCAAATCCGCGACTATCGAACGTATGGCGGTATGCTAAACCGCTAAACCACTGAAGCATGTGCTAGTATTATATCATTTTAAGTGGCAGTGGCACTTTATAGTGGAAAGTGTCCGTGGAGAGACATCGACATCCCGGCTACAGGCGGTGATAACGCGCGGAGTGCGACAGTGAGACCCCGGCGTGACATTAACTGGGTAATGTTGACGGGGCGTATTAAAGGACTCGCACACTATATTTAATGTATGCATTTAGTAGAGAATATTTTATTACATATATTCTTTATTGCACAGTTAATACATTAATAATATAATGTAGAGACACTGTGAGCAAAGGGACTTATCCCTAGAAGAGTCAAAACAAAGCAGTGGTATAGGAGGTATTGGGTGATAATTGAATAAACATTCCTCTTGAATCACTCTATCTATTAAAAAAAACGCTTCTAAATCCGTTGCATAGTTTATTTATTTATAGAGCAACACACAAGTTTCTTGCTTATTCTTCTTGTGATGAGTCTGCATTTCGAATAAGTGGTAGAATAAAAAAACTTGACTATTCAAAAGTTTATTTGAATAAAGATTATTTCTATTTCTATTCCTAAAGATTTAAGCATACATAGGGACAGACAGCGACAACAACTTTTTTTATACTATATAATAATGTGCTCATCAGGTCTCGACTAATAATTGCGGCTTACCGTTATAACCACTACATAATGACCAAAATCGTTCTGTCGACAGCGTATCGAATAAGAAGAAGTCCGTCAAATAATAAAAAAACAATATTACGACATTTACGACTTAAGATACAGATCTAATTAATGCACAATACAAACAATAAAAAAAATAAAAAACTGTTAAATGTTCTTTTATTTGAAGTCGGTTAAATGCCCGCAGTCTGCCACCGGGCAAGTTCCCGCGACTTTCAGCGGTGCGCGCTCCCGTCATTTGTTTACAGAACTTTGTTGCGACTTACACGGCGAGCGTGTTCTGTTATAATGCGTTTTTGCTGTCGCTACAGTCCCAAAGGACTTTAAGTCTTTATACAATATGTGCTCATCACGTCTCAACTAATAATTGTGGCTTACCGTCATTACCACTACATAATGATCACGACCGTTCTCTCGAGAGCGTATCGAATAAGAAAAAGACTGTCGAATAAATAAAAAAAATACTATTGCAACACTTACGACTTAAGATACAGATCAAATTAATGCACAACATATATAGTAAACATATAAAAAAAAAGGTTAGACTCTCCTTTATTTGAAGTCGGTTAAATGCCCGCAGTCTGCCACCGGGCAAGTTCCCGCGACTTTCAGCGGTGCGCGCTCCCGTCATTTGTTTACAGAACTTTGTTGCGACTTACACGGCGAGCGTGTTCTGTTATAATGCGTTTTTGCTGTCGCTACAGTCCCAAAGGACTTTAAGTCTTCGTACTAATTTTACTCCCGAGTTGCAGTAATTACACTGTTATTCTAAATGCGAAGTTCATTTTGAAATACATGCAATGAGATTTTACGACTTTTGTGATCTTACAAAGGTTGCGGGTTCTGCAAGATTATTTGTTTTTTTTTTATATTATTTTTTATTGTAAATGGGTTGGCAAGACCTGGGATGTAGGTGCTTATCCAGAAAAAAATTATTCACTATAGACTAAAATATTGTCTATTCAATCGCTTCAAAGCTTTCGATCTTTCCAACAGTTTTTCATATTTAATAAATATTGCACCATTACGACTATTATCCTAGATGATGTAGCTAGAGGTACTGTCATCTGCAAATTTCACATATCAATATAACGTTTCAGGTAGCAAATAGGCGTATCTGGAAATAAACACGGCTGGTAAATCCTTCCACGACATTGGTAACCCAAATCGCTAACCAATGTGATCTCTTTTCGGTCACCAAAGCCGAAATTGACAAACGAATATACAAATGGAGATATACAATACTAACTTTATATATATTGTCGAGATATATATATATGTATGTGTAGTATATACTAGCTGTTTGCGCCTGTATACCTATTTTCCTTTCCTTACGTCCTCTCCACATCTATCTCTTTCCTTGGCAAGGAATCTGAAAAGGACAGAGATGTTTCGCTCGAGCCCGATCGGCGAGACTCGGGCTGTCGCGCACGTAGTCATTCGGAGACCGTTGAACGGTGGCTATCATAGTTTTTTCATCCGCATTAAAATTAGTATTTTGGACAATATATAAACTGATTTAGTGTATTTTTGCATATAGACAATATTTGTGTGTTGTGAAGTGTCATAGTGTGCTGGTGCAGCATCGTACAAGAACGAGAGGACGGCCGGCCTCCGGGAAGACATCGAGTAATCCAGGTACCTTGCCTCCTTTCATCCTAAAAATCAAATATACAGTCCACTTTCCACTTTCCATTTGCGCATTTTATACACCATTTTTTGGCCACTTCGGCCGGATATTATATAGCCATTTGGTTCTTTCTGCTGCACCCCGCAATTAGTAGTATAATTCAAATAATCATAATAGGTAGGTACTTCACGCATACCGCGTTATAGCCATCATAAAATCACTTCGAGTTATTCCATTTCGCATCAGTTTGTTTCGTATGCATTTATGAATAGTTCAATTATCGCGTATTAGTTGTGTGTAGTTATAAAACTACTACTTGTATTACGATAGAACAATCTCGAATTTTGTTACGCATTTGTTAATTTTAATAGTAGGTATATAGTAATTATATCAAAATGTCGTTATCCGACTTAGAAATTAAATTAAACAATTTGATCTCAAGAAGGTCAGCTTATTTCGAGCGGGTTCAAAGTATTTATAATTCTGCAAAAAATTTAGTTGACGATGTTTCTATTGAATTGTTTTTATCGAAAGTTGAATCGTTGGATTCTATACGGAACGACTATTTAAGTACGTTGGAATCTATAAACGCTATAGAAACAAGGTTGAAACCTAATCATCAGCCCAGCCATCAGGCTTGGCTGGCATTTGAAGATTTGTATTGTTATATAAAAAGACAGATTACAAAGTTGAATCTGTCACACGATTCTAAACCTAATATATCAGCATCTGAGCCGATTAAGAGTTCTAGACCAAAATTACCAAAATTCCTGAATTTTCAGGAGATGTGACAGTTTGGAATTTATTTCATTCTACTTTCTTGTCAGCTGTACATAATAACGACTCACTTACTGATTTAGAAAAATTGCATTATCTGTTAGGTAAACTCACGGGGCAGGCTATCTTATGCGCAGAGCTTAACACACAAGTATTATTTACGAGACATTGGTTAATAGATATGAAGATCTGCGGTTTCAAGCAACAACTTATTTGGATAATATTTTTAACTTAAAACCTATGTCTAGTACAACCGCTGAAAGTCTAGAATCATTCGTTGATAAGTTCGCATCATCTGTTGCGGCCTTAAAAAACCTAAAATTGGATAATTTAAGAATTTGTATTTTTATACCTCGCATTAAAACGTTTAGACCCAGATATAGTTCGTTTGTTCGATATGGAATACCGCGGTTCTGTGATACCCAGTTTCGATAGCTTAGTTACATTTTTACGTGAACAAATTAAAATATTGCACAGAACTCCTTTTGTAAAATTACATCAAAATAAGTCCGAACGTGTCGTTCCCAGAATAACTAAACAGACACACACGTATTCTAGTACAACACAGTGTACACGGGCGAATGTAAACAATAATAATATGGTCAAACAGTTTTGTTCTTTATGCAATTCGTCAGTGCCACATAAATGTGCCGCTTTTTGTAATATGTCCCCATACGATCGATATTTATTTGTTAGAGGTCATAGTTACTGTCTAAATTGTTTGAGTAGTAAACATAAAATAGCAAATTGTAATTCTGGTATTAATTGTAAGGTGTGTAATAGAAAACATCATTCGATGTTGCATTTCGTTAGTAACACCGGCAGGCCGTATGCACAAAACGGCCGCGACCGGTCGCCCGCCGCGCCCGCCGCCGCGCCATCGCCCCTGCCGCGCCGCCCGCGCCGCCCGCGCCTCTCTCGCCGTATGCGCCGCCGCGTCTCACTGATGCACCGCGCGCATCACATTATAACTCACAGATAGCGAATACTAGTAACGCGACGGCCGGACATTGCGTTATGCAGTACACAACTAGTTAACAAAACCACTCACAATACTATTTTGTTGGCGACCGCACGAGTTATTGTTTACGATGTTTATGGTAGGGAATGTTTGGTTCGCTGTTTATTAGATAACGCTTCGCAAAGTAATTTTATTACTAATAGTACATGTGAAAAATTGGGTTTATGTAAACGCAAGACAAATTTATTAGTAAAAGGTATCGGCGGTACGAATAAGGCTGTCGACACATTAGTAAATATTAAAATACACTCCCGATTTAATTGGAATATTTCGTACGAGTTAGATGCATTGGTAGTGGATAGGATTACGGAACGTTTGCCTAATATGACTGTAGATAGGTGCAAGTTGTCTGATTTTGACGTGTTACCATTGGCTGATGACACGTATAGCTGTCCAGGTGACATCGACATGTTATTGGGCGCATCATTGTTTCATCATTTATTGCTTACAAATAAAATTGAAGGTCAGTTAGGTTCTCCCTATGCTTGGGAAACCACGTTGGGATATATTGTTGTAGGACCCGCGCCTTTTTTTGTAACAACACTGTAACGACGTGTTGTGCTATAGTATCGAATTCTCTGGACAATTTAATTAAAAGATTTTGGGATTTAGAGGAGATATACGTACCTCCTATTAAAAGTCCAGAAGATAACGCGTGCGAAAAATATTATAGTAGTACGCAAAACGCGACCCGATCAGTGGTAGGTATATTGTGGCTTTACCATTTTGTAAGGATCCGTCCACACTGGGCGATTCTTATCAGTTGGCTAAAAAACGATTTTTATGTTTGGAACGAAAATTAATTGCTTCACCCGCATTTAAATTAGCTTATGACGATGTCATTCTCGATTATATAGATAAGGGGTACATCTCACCCGCACCTACGTCGGCGTGTGAAGATAAATCGCTTTCATACGTTATACCGCATCATGGAGTGGTTCGTGAGGATAAGACGACCACTAAATTAAGAATTGTTTTAGACGCTAGCGCGAAAACTACTAGTTCCATTTCATTAAATGATATTTTGTTTTGTGGCGAAAATTTACAGGGTAATCTTTTTGATATAATAATTAATTTTCGGTTACTCGCGGTCGCACTGTCCGCAGACGTGCGACAAATGGTTTTGTGCATAGAGGTTCGTGAAGAGGACCGTAAATTTCAACGACTATTGTATCGTTTTTCACCCACCGATCCCATTGTTACCTATCAATTTAATCGTGTTTGCTTTGGTGCTAAATCTAGTCCGTTTCACGCATTGCGTACAATTAAACAGCTCGCTGAGGATGTTGGAGACTCCTTCCCGCATGCTAGGGATGTTTTAGAATTAGGGTTATACATGGACGACGTAGTCCATTCAGTCGACTCAGAGGAAGAAGGGGTAAAATTGTCCACTGAGATGATCGCATTTTTTAAAACAGCTGGTTTCGATTTAGTTAAGTGGACAAGTAATTCGCAAATAGTTCTTAACTCAATTCCTATTTCTCATAGACTCGCGGCGCTTAAGGAGTTTGATGAAACTGACACCCATAAAGTTTTAGGTTTATCTTGGTCGCCTCGCACAGATTTATTTCGCATTCAAATAAACCCGCCTAATGAGCAGTGCACTAAGCGCGCTATATTGTCATGCGTAGCTAGGTTATGGGATCTAATGGGTTTTTTGGGACCTGTGGTTTTATACGCAAAGTTACTTGTGAAACAATTATGGTTATTGAAGTGTGATTGGGATGACGCGCCGCCTGCATCGATAGTAAAACTATGGAGCCAGTACCGTAGTGAATTGCATTTATTAAATAAAATTAGTTTTCCGCGTCATGTTGATATAACGAGAGATAGCGTCGTTACTGTAGTAGGTTTTGCTGATGCCAGCGAAAAGGCATACGGAGCAGTAGTTTATTTGCATGTTAGTAATAATGGAATTAATAGCGTTCACTTGATGTGTTCAAAATCTAGGGTTTCGCCTACCAAAACGGTATCTTTGGCACGGCTAGAGCTGTGCGCCGCATTAGTACTCGCAAAACTCATTAGAATTGTGTGTGACACTTGTAGTAAGCGTCTCACTATTAGCAATGTTATCGCATTTTCTGACTCAACTGTGACACTTTGTTGGATTTATTCGTCGCCCCATAGATGGGATACTTTTGTTGGCAATCGCGTATCTCAGTTGCAGTCTTATTTAGCACCAGATAGTTTCCGTCATGTTTCGGGTATAGACAATCCTGCTGACTGTCTATCGCGCGGATTGACACCCGCACAAATTATCGATCATCCGTTGTGGTTCCATGGTCCACCCTGGTTATCGTCGAGCCCTAGCGAGTGGAAGATAGCGGAGTTCAATCCCACTAGTATATCGAATCCTCCCGAGGAAAAAACGCAAGCATTATTAGTTTCTGAAATCGAACCTAGTTTAATTTTGTTAAAATTAGCAGATCAGTTCTCGTCGTGGTGTAAATTGTTAAGATGTATTGTTTATATTTGTCGTTTTGTTAGACTGCTCCCGCATCGCAAATACATTACCGCATTTGATTTACGCTTCGCGGAGTATAAATTAATTAGGCAATTGCAGAAGTTTCACTTTTCGCATGAAATTAAAGCTATGCAATCTGGTAAACATTGTAGTATCGCATTTCGTAGACTGAAACCATTTTTAGAAAATGGTATTGTACTTGTTGGTGGACGTCTTCAGAACTCTGATTTGAGTTATCAAAAACAACACCCTATAGTACTACCGCGTAACGGTCATGTAATGAATTTATTAATCGATTACTTTCACAAAATTCACTGCCACGCTGGCCCTGATTTGTTGATGTCAATTCTTAGAGAAAATTATTGGATATTTTCGGCCCGTAACATTATTCGTAGTCGAATTCATAAGTGTAACCGTTGCTTTAGATTGCGCCCTAAACAAGTTTTTCCCGAAATGTCAAATCATCCCGCTTGTCGTGTAACGCCATCCGTTAAAGCATTTATTCATACCGGTACAGATTTTGCTGGTCCAATAAAGGTAACACCGCACCGTGGCCGTGGCATACGTGCGCGTAAAGCGTATATTTGTTTATTTGTGTGTCTAACCATTAGGGCTATTCACATTGAGTTGGCTTCTGACTTAAGCGCAGCTTGTTTTCTATTGGCGTTTAAGCGTTTCTTATCTCGTCGCGGACCAGTAACGCATTTGTATTCGGACAACGGGACGAACTTTATAGGAGCTAGAGGATATTTAGATGAATTGCATAAACTTTTAGTTTCAAAATATTTTAATTCAGAATTTTCGCACGTCTTAGCTGAAAATCGCATTGAATGGCATCTTAATCCCCCAGCGGCCCCACATTTCGGTGGGAACTGGGAATCTAATATCAAGAGTCTGAAGAGTCACCTATATAAGGTAGTAGGAGATCAGATTCTCACTTTTGAGGAGCTTAGCACTGTTCTCACGCAAGTGGAAGCAGTAATGAATAGTCGACCATTGTGTCGCACGTTAACATCGGATCCATCCGAACGCCGGCTCATTTCTTGACATCAACACCATTGAAATATTTGCCTGCACCAACTCTTGGTGGTAATGAAATTGATCTTAATCAACGTCATTCATTACTTACCAAATTAGTGCAGTCATTTTGGTCTCGGTGGAGACGTTCATATTTGCATACATTGACAACGCGTCAGAAATGGAATACTCCGTCGAATCCCATAGCAGTGGGCAATGTTGTAATAATTATTATAGATAACGCACCTCCTCTTCATTGGCCTTTGGGTATCATTGAAGAAATTTTTCCCGCGAAAGATGGCATTATTAGAATAGCTAGAGTCCGAACTTCATCTGGCTCGTATCTACGACCAGTAGTTCGTCTGTGTCCACTTCCTAATCAGTAAATAGTAAATATAGTTAAGCTCCGTTCTCTTGTTAAGTATATTATTAGTTTGGTTAGTATCCTACATTTTAGTTAGTTTGTTTTGCATTTGCTCTTTTTTTTTTTTGAAGGGATCCTTCAAGTGGGGGGGGATGTTTGCGCCTGTATACCTATTTTCCTTTCCTTACGTCCTCTCCACATCTATCTCTTTCCTTGGCAAGGAATCTGAAAAGGACAGAGATGTTTCGCTCGAGCCCGATCGGCGAGACTCGGGCTGTCGCGCACGTAGTCATTCGGAGACCGTTGAACGGTGGCTATCATAGTTTTTTCATCCGCATTAAAATTAGTATTTTGGACAATATATAAACTGATTTAGTGTATTTTTGCATATAGACAATATTTGTGTGTTGTGAAGTGTCATAGTGTGCTGGTGCAGCATTACAAGAACGCCTTGCCTCCTTTCATCCTAAAAATCAAATATACAGTCTACTTTCCACTTTCCATTTGCGCATTTTATACACCACTAGCATTTGCCTGCACTTTTCCTCCATAATTGATACTTAAACCCTCTAAATCCGAAATGTAATAAACATGCCAAATTTGAAAATAATTAGTCAAGTTACAACAACACAAATACAAACTTACATCGTAACAAAATACATCGTTACATCGTAACAAAAATACAAACTTAGATATTGGTTCGAATTCTACATGCTATGTTTAATTTATACATTATGCTACAATTTTCTGTCCGCCAGCTACCATTTTCCAGACATTTTCCTTCTGAGAAAGCATCAGCAAATTTAAAGATAATTGGTTAAGCAGTTCATGAAAGCGTAACAAAAATACAAACTTTCATATGCATCTATAACATTAGTTTGACTTCATAGGCGTTAGCTACCATTTTCTATCCATTTTCTTTCCGTCAACTACCATTTTCCAGACATTTTCCTTCTGAGAGAGCATCAGCAAATTTGAAGATAATTGGTTAAGCAGTTCATGAAAGCGTAACAAAAATACAAACTTACATATTATTATTACATATTGGTTCGAATTCATAGGCGTTAGCTACAATTTTCTGTCCATTTTCTGTACGCCAGCTACCATTTTCCAGACATTTTCCTTCTGAGAGAGCATCAGCAAATTTGAAGATAACTGGTTAAGCAGTTCATGAAAGCGTAACAAAAATACAAACTTACATATGCATCTATAACATTAATTCGACTTCATAGGCGTTAGCTACCATTTTCTATCCATTTTCTTTCCGTCAGCTACCATTTTCCATACATTTTCCTTCTGAGAGAGCGTCAGCAAATTTGAAGATAATTGGTTAAGCAGTTCATGAAAGCGTAACAAAAATACAAACTTACATATTGGTTCGAATTCATAGGCATTAGCTACAATTTTCTGTCCATTTTCTGTCCGCCAGCTACCATTTTCCAGACATTTTCCTTCTGAGAGAGCATCAGCAAATTTGAAGATAATTGGTTAAGCAGTTCATGAAAGCGTAACAAAAATACAAACTTACATATGCATCTATAACATTAATTCGACTTCATAGGCGTTAGCTACCATTTTCTATCCATTTTCTTTCCGTCAGCTACCATTTTCCATACATTTTCCTTCTGAGAGAGCGTCAGCTTGCCACTTTGCGTTTAATAATAACGTATTGTTGTATAAACGGAGCGAGAATTTTATAAGTTGATTGAGCTGTCATGTCAGCGTGATGTGTACACGGGTTAGTGCAATATTCCCAGAACATTTATATACTTTATATTATTAAAGGTTAAAGGGCTTATTCTTAAACACTAAAACGTAATACTATATATTGCTATATCGTTTTCACGTCAAAACTATTGAACCGATTTCTATGACTGATTTTCTCTAATTAATTGTTTAACCAATAGTTGTATTCAATATTTTATCTATTTGATTATATAATTGAATTAGTGCTAATCGGTAGTTTGTATTCACACACTTAAACTTAAATTGTAAAGTAAGAATAAAATTATTTAAAAGAGCAACACGCAAGTTTTCTTCTCGTTCTTCTTGTGATGAGACAGATTTCCGAATGAGCGGTAGATTAAAAAAAATGTGATGACTATTCAAAAGTGCTTCAATGTAAGTTTATTTGAATAAATTATTTTCTATTCTATTGTCACAACATTGTACAATTGAAGACCTATATATAGCACATGGAAATTCATAGTCTTCTTCCTGCAGAAGATGCATATCTATTATTATTATAAGCATGCCTAGTATAGGAATCAATGTTGATATGAACATGTAAAAGAATTTGTAAATAAATAATTGTTATTATTTATTTTTAATTATATTAAGTTAAATAACATATACATTTTACTTTATCTATTTTTCTTGTTTGATTTTGTTTATATTATTGAAAAGCACTGAATAAATATTTCTTTCTTTCTTTTATTCTTCTTCCTTCTTACAATATCAGTATAGACTGCCTTCGACCACCTCAGCTTTGCATGGGTGCAAACATTGTAAAGATTATTATTTTTTTTTAATATAATTCTGACCATATTTGTCAATTTTGTAGATTTTTAAACGTGAAATAATTTTAAAATTCCCTTAATAGAATTATACCTGCTTACTTTTGAAAACGGCAAATTTGTAATTGCTTCATTATTAACTAAGAGCGGAACGCAATTCAGTATCCTATAATTATGTCATCTGAGCTTCTAAATACGTCAGTATTCCACTTTAAAAGGCTTCAATTGATTTCGTTAAACTTTCCTACACAATTATTAGTAAATTAGGCTGAATCCTGAAACTGCAAAAAGTAAAACTCGAGTTAGCCGAGTATTCTAATTAAAAGTTTGTTTACGAATTGAAGAACCTTCGTCCGGGATGAGGCTTACTAATCATTATTCCGTTGTTGTAATAATGTATTTTAATTATAAAATGTTATTTATAAAGAAGACCTATAATAGCGTATTTTATTTATGAAATAGGACTCCTTCCGATATATTTATATCATTAATTGACAGGAATTTAATGATGAATTTATTTGATAACAATTGTTGTGATTTCATGTTGTTATTGATATCGGTGGTCTAGCGATTTAGCCCACTAGCAAAAAATACCATCACCATAGAAATATATGACTTAGATATATTTTTGTAAACCTAATATACATAAAAAACAGCCAGACGCAAATAACGATACATATGAATATGCTTGTAGGGACTGGTCTGCTCTAATCACTATGACTAATTTCCTCTTATTAATTGTTTAACCAGTTGTTTCTATTTGATCATTTAATTGAATTAGTGCTAATTGGTGGTTTGTATTCACACACTTAAACTTAAAAATGTAAAGTAATAATAAAATTATTTAAAAGAGCAACACGCAAGTTTCTTTCTCGTTCTTCTTGTGTTGAGATACCTTTCCGAATGAGCGGTAGATTAAAAAAAAATGTGATGACTATTTAAAAGTGCTTCAATGTAAGTTTATTTGAATAAATGATTTTCTATTCTTATTCTATTCTACAAATGTTTGCACTGTGCGAGGAATCGAACACGCTATCATGGGATGTAAAGCGGTGTGTAAAACCTGTAGACCACGGAGGAGTTTGGGATCAAAAACTGGTTTCCAAGTATTTGTACTTTCAAATTTATATTTATATAATTCTGATTATAGAAACCAATCTGATGTTCATTTCTCCATTTACCAACATTATGCTGGGATTATGTACAACAAAGACTGTGCAGAAAGCGCTTGTCAGATCCCCAACTAATCCCATTGAACTAATCCAATTACAATTATGATTGTACACCTTACTGCAGTTGCTGTTATGATATGGACTAGTACTATTAGTTATTAGAACTCGAATTGAACTCGTTCAATAAATAGTTACAAAACATAAAAAAAAAATCGCTAAAATCCGATTTGTCGGTCATAAGTTGAGATAAATATTAATTTAAATAATTTGTTTCTTGAGTTGGCCTACCCCTGCTGAAATTATAATAATAAAAACCATAGACAATCCATATAGCGTCATCTAGTTGTCACCAAGGACGTAGCCCACTGCTGGACCGACTGCTGCCATAGTGTAGTACACGCCTGCAATAATACATATACCACAGATAAGATATTTGACATTATTTTTAAGAGTCACATTGCTGACGATGTTGAGAAATAGAAACATGTGGAAACAATCTTTATTCAAATAAACTTAATATAAGCACTTCTGAATATTCACATTTTTCTTATCTCTTACCACTAATTTGGAACGCAGACTCATCACAATAAGAACGTTGAGAAACTTCCGTATTGATCTTTTAAATAAATGTTTATTTAAGTAAATACCTATGTACATGGTTTAAGAATGTGACAATTGAAGACAATCGAATCGAAGATTTAGTCCGAAATATAAATTTACACACAGTTTTTTTAAGTTTTAATTAGTGTGGTAAACATCAGCCATAAAATCTCAAATTTAAGCTCCAATTTTTAATGAAAACGTCTAATTATTCCACATTTAAGTAATTGTCCATAGTAGTGGTCACATAGGGGGACACAGTAAGCCCAGTCTAGGCATGAATACAGTTTTAATTAAAATGTTTTGTTTGTGTATTAAATTCATAATAGATACGACGCTATGTCTAGGACAATAAGTGTTCTCATTCTCGGTTTAATT